AAAATAAAAAAAAGAAAAATGAAAAAAAAAGCAACAAAAAAATAAACCTAACTGTCCTCTTACCCATGGGAACCATTCATCTCCTTTCCCCTCCACATCTTCCTTAGCAGACAACGTACATTTGCTTCTGTCTGTGTAATCACAATGAATGGGTACACAATTCCCGTGTGCCTCTGCCACTGTTGCACAAACCAGTTGACTGAGCAAACCCAAAAGGAGCATGAAGGGGGTTCCTTTTAGTTGAACAAATAAGTGCTCTCCTTATAAGGTGGGATCGGACAGTTAAAAATGTATGTTTATGTAAAGAAATAATATATAACAAACTGTTGCTCCAATACCCATTTTGAAGAAGTCCAGTCCTTTCTCACTGGTCAGTTGAACAGGAGCAGCCTTTTTCTTGGACATGATGTGTAAAACCAGTTATGCTCAGCAAGTTCAGTAGTTGGGAAGCCTTCATATTGGAGGTGAAGGATTGGCATTCATTGTGAATTACGTTTTGAGTTTCTCCTGCTGTCACATAACCAGCAGCTTTATATAAGGAGTGGGAGCAAAGAGCTTCCAAAATTCAAGATTGCAAAATCACACTAGAAGCCTTTGAGCATCTACCACAGAAAGTTATCTATTTGGTTTTGAACCCATTGTTTTTTTCTAATATATACGTATTGTTCAAAATTACTCTAGTTATTAAGGGTGCACAAGAATGTGTTAGCACAGATAAAGAAACTATTTTGTTTTAAATATTTAGGACAACCATTTTAATAAATGTGCAATAAAACAGTAAAGAATATACTAGGATATGAGTAGTCAAGAGAAAAGATTGTAATCTGATTGCTGATTTTTCATTATTTGGGGTGGTTTTTATTTTATTTACTTTTATTTTTGTGGGAACATTTCACCTGCTGAGTGTATGAGAATTTGCTTTTTAAAAAGGCTTTTTAGAGTTTACAGTAGAATCAATGGAAGGAAAATTTAATAAGGGCTGTTTTTAAAAACTTTACATTCCTTCCTATTCTCTAACTACACTTGGGAAGTGCACTTTAGAGATGTATGCTGTGTAGCTGGGAGATGAAGGAAAACTATAGGAAATGTTCTCTTAGGAAATAAAATAGTTACCTACTTTCTAGCTATGAAATACCCCTTGATAAATATTAATGTTGTAAGAACATTTAATCGCTGGTGCATAATATGCGTTTTTGTATACACTTTATGGTCTGTTCAATTCTGGAGATAAAAAAAAAAAGATAATCATACTGCTTAAGCGACTCAAGATGCACATGTTAAGCTGTGAAAGCTCACATATTTTGCAAGAGTATTTGTTTTAATAGTGTTTTACTACAATCCAGACTGAGGAGCCTAAAATGATCTGTGCAGATATGACAACAACAAAAAGCACCAACTAATGCAAAGTTCTTCAGCACTGTTTTGTTTCTATAATTTTTCCCTTCCCTTCTTTGCACATGCTATATTTTTTTCCAATAAAACATGGTGCTTTTTAGTTATTTTATTTTCTGTTAGAGGCACATGTATTAATTATGTTGAAATGATGCAAAAAGTGGGGAAAACGTAGAATTGTAATTGAAAAAGCCTTAACAAATGGTAGAATGTAGATTTTTGAAAGGATAGAGATGTTATTGAAAAGTGATGGAGCAATAACTGGGCAGTGCTCTCATACTGTACAACAGCTGATGAGTCACACTACTGAGAAAGCTCTTACTGGGTGAGCTCTTGTTCAACTGACCTCTTAATTCTAGTAAGTGTATATGGTCAGTAAACAGTTTGTTATAACCTTTATCTACCTCTGCTGTGCAAAGGCCATCCAACATCCATTTTGTGATGTTCCTCATATTTTTTTTTTCACATCATTATACACTGTCATCTATTTTTACACTGTACCAATACAGTAGCAAGTCCGGTACATCCCAGTTGAATTGGCACATGAAGAAGAGTTATCGTTTCTGTTTTGCCTCATGGTGAGGCATGGTAGAGAGCTATCTTTAAGACATTTTATTTTTTATCTCCTGCGCTTCCTCATCCGTCATTCTTTATTTTTCTATCAAAAGTTTTCAAATGGTGTCAGTGAAAAATATGACTCCTCTACTGCTTGGCAACACCCAGTCACGTGTCATACAATATGAGAAATATATGAGAAAGAGACATGAGGAAAAACGGTGACAACACCATCGCATGCATGAAGTAGTCAAATTAAAGGTGGGCAAAATGAAACAGGAAGAAACTGCAGACTTCTATTTATTAAGTATGAGATGTAAGAAATTCCTCCCCCTCCCTTCCCACCCGGAGTCAGTGCCTGCAGTTCAATGGTCTGTGAATTTTCTCTGTCATCTTTTTGAGATCTATTTCTTTCATTTCTAAAACAAAGAGTCATGTTCCAGAGGCAACTGCTGCTGAGGTGTCTGTTGCCATTTGACTGCAGCATTGTGGCATGCAGCTTCCCTTGGTGGCACCTGGGACATCAGGAGTAGACAAAGACTCTTCTGTGAAGTTAAGCAACATGCAATCATGTATGATGCAAAATTTCATTTCATCCATTTCTCATTCGTAATAGTTTTCCTGGCACAAACTTAAGCATGCTTGATATTGTGCACATATTACTTTTTTGCCAGAATAAATTTGCATCTTGCCACTGCTATAAACTGCCATCTTGTTCCATTTCTCCTTGTACTGTATGCCTAATACATACATGATAAAGAACTGGCTTAACAAGCAATTAATATTAAATTATTTCTTAAAATGAGTGACAAAAAGAAAAAGAGAAAAAAAGAGAATAATATTTATTTTGCAATCATATGGAAGAGAAATGTTTCTCATGTCTTTTATCATCTTATTTTCTGCAATAGGGAAAATGCTGATTTTGTGCAATATGCTAATACTGCTAAGCCAAATGTCACATAACATAACCAGAGCTATATGTTATTTCTTATTGCATTTACATTCGGTAATACGTTATATTGACATTTTTCTTTCATTGAAGAGACAGTATCCTTTTTTTTTTATGAATATATATATAGCAGATGAAGGCTGTCCTTCTGCACACCATAATTTAAAGACAAAAACAAACAAAAAGCTAGAACAAAGTTTTAGTTCTATAAATGATGAAACCAAGCCATCAGCTGCCAAAGAATCTGTGGAACAATAGAAACAAACCAAAAGTAGGCTTTCAAGAAATTCCTTCTTGAGGGTTATAAATAATGTTATTCTAACTGACTGAAAAAAGGAAGAACGAGAGCTGTATATCAAATAGCAGAGATGGCAGGTTTCGTCTGGTATGTGATGTGGCTCTTAAGCTGGTATAGTTATATTCTTTTATTAAAAAGTGAGGGGCAAGGCATTGTCTTCTGCTTTCTCTGTATTTATCATAATCAGTGTCATTTTTGTAAATGTTGCATCCATACACAGAAGATATCTGCTTGAAGCCAGCCTGTACACATACACACACAAATTTACACAGTGAAACCTGCCATGAGTGACTGTCGAAACCATAAACAAATCTTGTTTACCCAGTAGGGGCAGCTTTAACTATAGTGACATGACTTCGTTTTAGAAACCTTGAAGATACCTGTAAATGCTCCCTTATGCAAGGCGTCTTGTAAGGGGGTGGTCCTTACTGCAGCTTTCACTGTGTATCTCGTCAGTGCCACAGCCCGACGATGCATTTGGGTGGATTTCTGGCTGTGCTCAGAGTCATGCTGACTTCAGTGGGCCTTGACACGGGTACAAGCGTGAACCCACAACAAATTCACTGTAGCATCTACAGCCAAGTTTTTCATCTCACAATATTTACTCAGGAATTGCTTGAGGGTGTAGGCTGCCAACAAAGGATCTTTGGATTCAACTCTAGCAAACAAAAAAATAACAACATTTTGCCAATGGTACATGGTAAACAGTTCTATTTTTTTTTTTTAATTATTTTGGTAAAAGAATGATTTTAAAACTGAGCTAGGAGCATAGAAGAAGAATTAACAGAAATCTCATCACTGCTGAGGAAAATAAATAGCATATTTGAGGTTAAAAGAGCTTTTACCATTTGCCAGTAGCTGTCAGGAAGCAGGAAGATTAAAAAAAAAATGGGAAATGGTATATTCAGTTCTGAATGTGATAGTTTCCATTAGTATGAGATTTTTGGATGGCAAGTAGAACTGGAGCACACATCATCTCAACTAAGGGATTTAATTTGCAAACATGATCTGCAAGAACTCTGAGGAATCAGATTTCGTGAACACCTCTAGCTTTCCAAGCATTTTTTGCAATTGTTAACAGGTTTGATTTATCCCTGCAGAGGGAAGAGGGGAGAGAAAACTACTCTAACTGAGGAAATAATAATAATAATTTAAAAAAAATAGAGCCAACTTGAGAAAATCCATCTGAGAAAAAAGTTATAAGCTTAAAAATATATACTAGAAGTGCAAAAAGAAAAAAAAAAAGCTATGTAGGTTTAGATCTATGTATAGGTAGTTATCTCTTTAAGAGATAAATACAAACATATGTTCACCACAAATATTAAGAATATAGCACACTGTATGAATAAAAACACCAAAGGATAAGATGTGTAAACTATATAGGGCAAAATTACTGTATTTATATTTATACTGTGGAGTGCGAATTTCCACGTAGAATTTCAATGACTTTTTCTTTTTGTATTACAAAAACTAAATAATTTGGGGAAGTTTTGGATAAAAAACATATTTGGATATTCAGTCCATGATACTAGATCCCGATTCAGTATACTTACTATTTTTTTTCTGAACTTTTCCCTTAAAAC